GGGTCGCTCGCCGGATGCGACCGCTGACAGAAATACGCGTACACACGCGCACGCACGCACACAGAGACACTTCCCCCTATTCTTCTGCGTTCATAAAGCAGCAATACTTGATCATAGCAAATCCCGGCACTCAGTGGTGAGCATATAACAGAGGCCGGTGGCAGACATTTCCAGCTTACGTAGCTGTAGTCAGAGAATGAGACGCAATTTTCCGGGTGTGAAGTTGGTTGGGTTTGTTCAAAGAAGTGACCGGGAGAGGTGGTCCTGTCCCTGGTGGTCTACCCTAAGCAGTCTTCCCAATTGGATTCGGGAAAAGACAGGCTTTGAGTTCAGGGGAGATAACTCTACAGCCCGGGCACACAGAGAAATCCAACGTCTAGCTGAATCCGTACAGTGATCCCTGTAGGCGCTGCTGTCCGTGCAGTCCCCGTCGTCATTCATGCCCCCACTCTGTGTGCCGTGAAGGAAAGAGAAACCTCCATGTTCTCCTAACAGAACCATAATGCTTTTACTGAGGCATTCGGTACAAGAGCTTCTGGCTATAATGACATTTTCTGTTTCAGCTGGTTGTCAGCAAGGACGAGGAAGGAATTTCCTCTCAAAAGCACCATTGCCCAGATGTATTTTGAGTTTTATTTATTTCTCCTTCTCTAAAACATCCGGAGCTGGTGACAGCTGAAGCCAGAGCAGCAAAAGATGCAGATCATTGATCTGACACAGGGTAGGTATTCCTTCCCCCACGACTTCAAAGGTACGGAGGAGTGAGAGGAATCTCCAGGGTCCTTTAGCGCAGGCTCAAAATCCTTATTTCACAGACAGAACATCATTTAATCTTTCACAAACTTATTGAGCTCCTTCTCAAAGCAATTAAGCTTTTCTGCTGTCGGTGTAAGCAATATATCCAGCTGTCATTAGAATATAGCTCCGAACTGCCCACTTCCTTGCATATAAGACAATAAATAACTGCACCAGTTTTCATTCTCTACTAAGTAGAGAGAAATTGAAGTGGATTAGAAAATGAAGGTGCTTCCATAACATGTTCTGTGTCCTGAGTTATTTATTCTCCTCATAGCAGTTATCTGCCATGTATCCAATGTAACATCTCCCAAAAGACAGTATATGTTCATTTTTGACTCTGTTCATTCTGCAGTGAATCGGGTGCTACTTTTCAGTACTAGATAAATCAGAACACTGAAAAATATCGAGGAAAATAGTCCTTAAAATATTTACAATGATACGAAATGCTGACAAGAAAATTCATTTTTATATCCAAGCCCATCTCCTATTATGAATGCAAGTAAATTGCTGGTCTCAGCCTATCCTAGTCCTTATCTATGAACATCCCCCAAAATCATCACCTAATAATTTAGAAGCGAGGCTTAAGAGAATAATATGTACGAGGGTGCGTGCCTCGGGTAACAGGGTGACAAAGACAAGAGGCCTCAATAAAAAAGTAAATTCCTCTGCGAGAAGCAGAGATTCCCTTCTTACTTACACTGCAAAGTGTAACGAATAGTCTGTTTGATTTCAGTGCCATTTTTCCCTAATTACAGTGGTATAAAGGAGAGGAGAATTTAGCCCATACGTTGTAGTGCTAATAACAGTTCCAAATGTCATCTGTGAGAAAGCTTGCCATTTGCTTTTCTCTGCTGCAAATGACTGAAGGACTTCTCTTGTCATACAATACAGAAATTCTGTCATACCCTTTATTTTTAGAAGAGCGATTCGCAGGGAGAGAGGGGAGGAGGAAGGGTTTTCTGAATGTTTATCAGTTACACATCACACAGGAAGCTGTTCAAATTCTTTATTAATTTTCTAACAATATCTAGAGACTTACTCAGGCTGAGATGTAATATGCTAAAATCCTTTCCAATAAAATGTCATTTGAAATGAAAATCAGACAGGCATTACAGGCCGTGACTGTGGGAGATTATCAGAGAGAGCCAGGCCTGAGCAACACTACCTGGTTTGGCTTTCCCCAAAACTCCGTAGAGTCCAAGGACTTTTAAAGGTGAAGTATAATGCATTAAAATAAAGCAACTGAGGAATGTGCTGATTCCATGGTAGAGTATAAAATATAGCCATGCCTCATTACTGCAAATATCTTTTAAGAAGACATATTTAAAAATCATGTCCTGACTTGTGCCAATGACATAATTGCAAAGCTCTTGGCATAGGGATTCTTTATATCTAGCACAAAAGCACCCAGGCAGACTGAGGACTCTATGTCTGACCTCTGTAGAAAAATCTAGTAAAAGCAGATATAAAGTACTGTGAATATTATGACCCGTTAATTAAGAGTCTCTATCCCTTACCACAGCTGATGATGCCGGGCAGCGTGAGACAATGAAGAGAAATGTAATCTGTGAATGGTTATGATATTCTCAGCTATTGCAATTTTTGGCTGACCTCTTGGCACACCAACAAAATAGGAAGCTGATTTTCATATCTTTTGCTGAAGGTAAAAATAATTGAGTTTTCGGGCTATAGGATTTGGATGCACAGAAGTACTTGGAAACTCAATGTTATTGGCAGCTGGTCAACAGGATCCATCCGCTGTCTTTGAAAATCTCAGCTATGATACTTTTTGGTTTTGTGTATAGGTATTTCAGTGTCAGGTATGTTAAAAGCTTGCACCTGACAGGGGCTGCTGCACTCTATCTTCTCCTGGATTGTGGTTTTAAAAATTTATTTGATTTAGTGGGAGAGACTCACGGAATCTCTACATCTAATCTTGGTAAAAGAAAAGTAAGCAAAAAATCCTGAATGAAGAATAGCAACAGATAAAAAATGTCAGTGGGCAGGAGGGTGGGCAGCAAGGAGAAAGAAAGTGCTCATACTCAAGAAGACTAATTAGATAGGTGATACAATTAGTGAAAGGACAGTGGGAGTGATGAGTTAAAAGAAAAGCTGAAATACGTATATGTTAGTGCAAGTAAAGGAGTTTGAACTAGTGATGCAGGACATGAAACCAGGTATTTTAATAACAATAATAATGAGTTACAACTCGTGACTAAAGCACAGGTACTAAAGAATATGTGCTGTTCAGGAAAGATGGAAATAAATGTGTGAATGGGGAGGCTGCGTTGTGTGCCAGTTCTTTACTAGACTAAAGAAATAAGAATTAGAATGGATGGAATAGAACTAGAATAGGTCAAAATAATTTGGAGGAAAGCTCATAAAAGAATTTTCTTTTTACTGTCTGCAGTAGTACTAGCAATCCGCCATAATTACTGAAATACTGCCAGAGAAAGTTTAAGGGTTTATTAGCTGATTCCGTCTAAATTAGATTGAGGGATAAACAGAATCTGGACTTAACTGCAGTCTTCAATCTCAAAAGGGCAAACCATGATTAAACTAAGATGACTACTAAGTGAGAGCAAATGACCAGAGCAACTCGGGCCCAGTTTCACTCCACCGAACTTCAGGCACCTAAGGGGGATACCTAAGCTGGTACCACAGTTGCTCAGCAGTCCCTAGGGAAGTAAGATTCAGCACACTTCAGATTCCCTCTCTGAGGGTATCTATTCTTTCCAGTGGCCCCGGAAGGTGCCTGGGATAATTAAGCATCTAAGTTAGGTACACTGGTAAGATGTTGAAAAATTGGTTAAATGCACCCAAGTTTAGGGTGCCTGAATATGGAGAAAGCTTGAAATTTCTCTCTGTCAGTTTTGCATAATCTATCTGAAATTTATATTCCATGTACAGGAGGAAGACCTTGCAATGAAGGGCTCTGGACTTGGGTAAAAAGCAACCCCCCAAAAGAATACTAGGAATAAACAGGGACCCTAAAAGTGTGATCAAGAAAACTCATCATTAGAGAGAGCTATATCTTAGGGATGAAAAAATTAATTAAAAGTGTAAAGGGGTAAGAGGGGATAAGAAAAGAACCCCGCTGCCTTCCTTCCAAAGAATGAGAAATGCTGAGCCCCTGATTTCAGCAAATGGAGCATATATTAGTCAACCTTTCCCCAGTGACCCAAAAAGTAGGCTGATAGCACTGCTGCAAAGCATGCTGTTTATTGACATTCCGACTGACAACAGATAGTGCAACTCCTGCAAGTATTGCAGTCACAGATTCAAGACTTAAGTCTTGACTCACATGTTATGCAATCCCTCTCCTCACCAGGAAGCTAGAAAGAACCTATTAAATCTGCCCACACAATGTCTCTAATGCCTGAGCTGAAAGTGTTAGGAAATTATGATAGATTTAAGAGAGTCCTTCTCCAGGTTTCAGACAAATCAGGGGAGAGTTCCTTCAGAAAAATGCACAGCTAATTATGGATTTTCCAGCTGAGATAATGTTTGAAGGTCCAAGTTTTTTTTTAATTAAATCAGAGGTTTGCAATTGAGCGCTAACATTTCTGGTAAGAGTCTGTAGGGAGTAGCCTTGGAATTGGTAAATCAGGTGCCTGAATAAACCGACTCGTCAAGCTAAAACATTACATTTTTGAATTATGTGCTAAGTTTAAACAAAAAAGAAAAAAATAAGTGGATTTAGTGAGAATGAAAAATGACAAACTGACAGTTCTGGAAACAGGAGTACTTCTTTTTACCCACAGAATTAGAATAGCACCTGCAATACACTTTCTGTCTGTATCTTCCCACCAATATGATTTTGCTCTTGAGAGCAAATGCCTTTAGAATTGTTTACTCTCCATGACCCGTTCCAATCTTGGCTTCTGTGCTGCATATGGCTGCCAAAAAGATGCCAATTTCAGCTAGTTCTGTTGGTGGCTTTTGGATACTTCAAACCTAATTGTGCC